TTTTTGAATGTTTGTCATATTTTTAGTATTTGTCACTTTTTTTTTGTCACTTTTTTTCTGTCGCCTTCTTGAAATTTCTATCACTTTTTTAGTAACAAACATCATTTTTAATAAAATATAAATTGTATGTATTTAATAAAAAGATGACACAACTTTTAAAAGTGACATTGAGTCATTTTTTTTTAAAAAAAGTGACAATTTTATCACTTTTTTGTGTGTTTGTAACTTTTTTCCTGTCACTTTTTTGAATTTTTTTTCACTTTTTATTGTTTGTCACTTTTTAAAAATTTCTCATTTTTTTTTTATAACAAACATATGTTTTGATTGGTGTTTTGTTACATTTTTAAATATTTGTCACTTTTTTGAGTTTGTATCACTTTTTGAGTGTGTCACTTTTTTTTTAATTTTTTCACTTTTTTTGAGTTTGTGTCACTTTTTAAAAAAAAAGAGACAATTTTTATTAAAAAAGTGACATCACTTTTTTATTTTACACAGTATTTTTTACTTCCTAAAAATCTTTCACGTGATTTTTCAAAACACCCCTAATTTTAAGGGTATTTTTGTAAGTACCCCAACTAGCTTTGTGTAGATAAAAAGTTATGAATTCCATAAAATGTGATTAAAATTAGTTGTTGACTTTAAATTAAATTCAAAATTTGAATTTGAACTTTTACCAAACAGAGGCGAAATATTCTTAATCTTTATTAATTACTCCACTTATGTGCTTAACTTTTTATCACGTTCTTCTATTTAACATTTTATTAATTAATATATAGTCTTTAATTATGATTTTTGTCGACATTTGTTAGGTTCTTTAAGATGAGAGATAAATATACAATTACTTAAAAATAAGAAGGTTAAATAAGTTTTTTTACTCTCTCTTAAAATATAGTCAGGGACTATGTGAAATGTAATGAAAATTTGAGGAGGTAACTAAAACAATAAGTAAAGATTATGGGACTTTATGTAATTAAAATGTTCTACAATTATAAAAAATGTGGTTTGAATATATTTATGGCGGTTATAATCATCCCAATATTTTTTTATAAATACACCATATTTTAATTACATTAAAGATTATTAGTTTTTATTCATTATTACATTTATATTCTTAACTTTTTTCATCACATTCTTATTTTTTAAAATTTCATCATTCAAAGAATCTTTTTCTTAATCATAGTTTTCATCCAAAAATATTGTTAGCGCTCTTTAAGATGAGGGTCAAATATCTAACGCATTTTTGCAATATTATTTATTTTCCTTATTCAAAAATAAAATGGACAAAATGAGTCTTTTTACTCTATTTTAAAGAAAATTTTGGAAAGAAACCTTAATCAACGAT